AAAGCTTGCTACACTGGCGAACAGCCTGTACGAACTGGGCTAGTACACGTCGTTCCTCCGATCTAGGAACATACGTGAAGGAATACCCGGGGACATACAGTACACCCAGGTTCCTGTAAGAATGGAGAATTTCTAGAATGGACGTGAGCGGCACATCAGCACCGTACTCACCACTGCATAACCAGGAAAGTACAACAAACCGCAACTTCCTACATGAACTCAGCGCTCGGCAGATCAAACCAAAGCCGTCAATGCCGACTTTATTCCAACCTAATTCCACTTCCTCCAGGCTGGACGATGCGGACAAAATGGCTGATGAAAAGACATTACCATCGGTACAGTGATTCCCTTGCAAAGAGAGCACACGTACATGTGTGTAGTGTGCCAAGCCATTAAGAATGCAGCGCATACCAGTGCTGGGTAAGCTACACCAATTAAGGTGCACTTCCTGCACGTCCACACAAAAATGGGTTGTGAGGAAATGAGCAATGGCAGTGCAATCTAACAGGCTGAGGCTCACACCACTAAATTTCAGAGAAAAGACCTGAGAGAAGAATGAACAATGGCCATTACAAGATGACGTACCTTGATACTGGCAGTGCTCTAGATAAGCTACTAACAAATCAGCTCGGCAACGGCGTTCTCTCCCGCGATGTGTAGGAGGCCGTATGGGTGCGGCAGTAGCAGCCGGGGCAGCTCCAGGTGCCGATGGTGTCGATATCTCCGATGTTGCGCTTGTCATCGCATGCTGCTCACAATGCGATGCGGTCTCGGGATCCACTTTACGTACAGCCGACAGGAACACCTCTGCTCTCACCTCCGCTGCCTCGTTCTTCCATACGCTTACAAGAGTATCCAGGTACAAGTCGTCCGTCAACTCCCTGCCTCGCGGCAGAGCATTGTCGACACGCTGACGACCACGTCCTTGCCCGGCGGTGCCAACCAGCAGCTGATCGGCGAGCTCTTTCATCTTTTCAACTGACAGCGCCGATTTCAGCACCGCATGGATACGGTCCACGTCGTTGCTTTGCTTGGTTGGCTGAGAACGGCTCACAATGTCGTCGAGCAGGCGTGTATCAGTCTGGCTGCATGCACGTTGTGTACGGTCGTTGTCGTCGTCGCAGATTATCCGCCACAGATGCTCCATGATGGCGACTGCGGGCTTTGGCGGTGTGAGCGCGATCAGGAAACGCCAGAACATGGTCATGTGACCGCTGTAATGGCCGACTCTCCTCACCAGCCACGCAGCGTCGTTCTCGTCGTTCAGCATCTCGCTACACACGTACCAGGCCGCCAAGAACTCCTGAATGGACAAGTGAGCAAAACGATATTGCCGGTCTTCTGTTGAGCTGGTGCTCTTGTAAGCCATAAGCAATCCTAATTCAATTGCAGGCGCGCTTAGTTGTGCCGAAATGACATCCTCCTCGTTGAACACCATCTTTTGCTGAGCTAGCATAGAGAGTGCAAAACCAGATAGCTCCTTCAACACTTCAATCTCGTCCGTCTTGATGGTGGAAAGCGTCTTGTAGCGTTTGCCCGCACGTCGTTCCATGACACGGCGGACAAGCAACTCGTACAGTCCTGTACTGGATTCCGGCAATTTACTACCGTCTCTGTCGTCCATGAACAATTCACAGGCCAGCGCAGCAAACAGAGGTGTACTCATTAGCGACATTGTGCCCTCTTGTGAGCGGAGCTGCTCCAGCAAAGCCTCGCCTTTCACACCGCCCACCACTTTCTTCACGTACGTTTCAACGTTGTCTGGTGAGAATCCAACCACCTCCACTTGCTGTTTATACTCTCCACATTGCGACAGGGTATGAGCATCAGTACATGGTCGAGACGTCACCACCACATGCATATCACCACTACGCCTTCTCAACAGTAGATCACGCATGTATTCACTGCAGTTGTCCAACTTGCACTCATCCAGCCCGTCTAGCACAATGCAAAGACGGGACTGGTTGCTGCGAAAGAACCGGGACATCTCCAGCAGCTCATCTGTCTCCACATCCAGACTGGAGAATCGACGTGCCAGCAAGTCGCACAAGCTCGTAGCAGCTTGCACCTCGGCAAGCCGTAATTCCACTGTCAGTACCAGATCAAACTTTCCACGCCACAGCTCACCTTTAGACCAGAGGTATTCCAGCATGATCAGAAAGATCGTGGATTTGCCACAGCCAGCGCTTCCAAACGCTAGAACATTCTTCATGTTCTCTTCCACGGGTTCTTTGGCACGCGCCAGTAAACCAGAATCAGCTACCTCATGGTCACAGCCCGGGCGTGGCGCGGTCCCCTGATTGCAAGACCGCTCGCTGGTAGCGGAGAAAATATCTTCCAGGTCAATGCCACGCTCGGCCGTAGCGACCCTTTGCGGCTGAGCCTCGGAGAACAATTTCAACTGGCGTGCTCGTTCAGAACCAGACGAAAAGGACGATGACTCGTTACTGAAAAGTTCGGAAAGTTCGTCCTTTGTGAGCAACGTCAAGTTGACAAAAATATCTTTCAATGGGATTTTGGCATCGCTGGCAAGTCCACCGCTAATCTGAATACCAGCCTTCTCAACTGCCTTAGCCAGCAAATCACGGGCAGTTCGGACAGAAGCTGGCAGCTTCTGCTCGTCGGACGCCATGGGTCGCGGGCAGGTTTGCGTCCAAGTAGCTGCAAGGAGCACCAGGCAACAACATCGTGCAAGGAGACGCTACAAGTATTATTTAAAATATTTTTACTTTGCCTGCATGACAGATGATTGCACGAATTCTGGGTGCACCGGTGGTCGGTGTGCGAGGAGGTGACGGTACGTGTTTAGCTCAGAACTATCCTCGGACTTTGTAGTTGTTGCGTTGTTTTTCCACCGCTACAAATCATGTATTTAGTGAAGTCCTGTGCAGACTGTGGTAATGTCAATGGTGTAAATGTACTGATGTACGTACATGTACATATACGTGGTGGTAATGTCAATGGTGTAAATGTACTGATGTACGTACATGTACATATACGTGGTGGTAATGTCAATGGTGTAAATGTACTGATGTACGTACATGTACATATACGTGATGCTGATGCACAAGTAGAAACACTTTTTACACTGCACTGTCTGTAAAATGAGTGAAACAGATTATTGAAATATTTATTTCAGGACTGTCTGGTACATGGTGTGCACTGCACGCATGCACTGATCTAAGCATTACCTAGTAGTACTAGTAGTAGTAGTACTAGTGGTAGTAGTGGTAGTGGTAGTGGCAGTGGCAGTGGCAGTGGCAGTGGCAGTGGCAGTGGCAGTGGCAGTGGCAGTAGCAGTAGCAGTAGTAGTACCTACTAGGCCCCGTGTAATATGGCGGCATTTTTTTAAGCATTTTCGGAACAATCCGCGAACCCAGCACTTTTGGCTCGTGATGCAGCATGTTTCCTGGATTGGGGCAAAGGGAAGGAGGGCATGTAGCCTGGATTGGGGTAAAGGGAAGGAGGGCATGTGGCCTGGATTGGGGCAAATGGAAGGAGGGAATGTGGCCTGGATTGGGGCAAAAGGAAGGAGGGCATGTAGCCTGGATTGGGGCAAAGGGAAGGAGGACATGTAGCCTGGATTGGGCCAAAGGGAAGGAGGGCATATAGCCTGGATTGGGGATAAGGGAAGGAGGGCATGTAGCCTGGATTGGGGCAAAGGGAAGGAGGGCATGTAGCCTGGATTGGGGCAAAGGGAAGGAGGACATGTAGCCTGGATTGGTGTGAAGGGAAGGAGTGCATGTAGGCTGGATTGGGGCAAAGGGAAGGAGGGCATGTAGCCTGGATTGGGGCAAAGGGAAGGAGGGCATGTAGCCTGGATTGGGGCAAAGGGAAGGAGGGCATGTAGCCTGGATTGGGGCAAAGGAAAGGAGGGCATGTTGCCTGGATTGGGGCAAAGAGAAGGAGGGCATGTAGCCTGGATTGGGGCAAAGGAAAGGAGGGCATGTAGCCTGCCACCTTCGAGCTACTGTAAACCGGACACTTTCGGTGGAGATCTATTTTCGGTAACTTCGGTAAAGGTAAGTTTTACCTAAAAATTAAACGCGATCTAAAATTCCACACAGCCATGTGCCCCCCAAAATTCCACACAGCCATTGCCCCCCCCCCCCCCATACCAAACAGCCATGCGCCCCCCCCCCCCCCCCCCCATACGACACAGCCATGCCCCCCCCCCATACCACACAGCCATGCCCCCCCCCCCCATGCCACACAGCCATGCCCCCCCCATACCGCACAGCCATGCCCCCCCCCCCCCATACCACACAGCCATGCCCCCCCATACCACACAGCCATGCCCCCCCATACCGCACAGCCATGCCCCCCCCCCCCCCACACCACACAGCCATGCCCCCCCCCCCATACCACACAGCCATGCCCCCCCCCATACCACACAGCCATGCCCCCCCCCTACCACACAGCCATGCCCCCCCCCCCATACCAAACAGCCATGCCCCCCCCCATACCACACAGCCATGCCCCCCCCCCCCATACCACACAGCCATGCCCCCCCCCATACCACACAGCCATGCCCCCCCCATACCACACAGCCATGCCCCTCCCCCCCCCCCCATACCACACAGCCATGCCCCCCCCCCCATACCACACAGCCATGCCCCCCCCCCCCATACCACACAGCCATGCCCCCCCCCCCCATACCACACAGCCATGCCCCCCCCCATACCACACAGCCATGCCCCCCCCCCCATACCACACAGCCATGCCCCCCCCCCCCCCATTCCACACAGCCATGCCCCCCCCCATACCACACAGCCATGCCCCCCCCCCCATACCACACAATGTGCAGAATGCATTTTCGGATCTGGAAAAATAGTTTACCGAGATTTTCGCGCTACCGAATCGCTGATTTTGGGAAATACCGAAATATGACACCACCGAAAGTTCCCAGGGTTGCAGTATCTTGTTGGGGATTGGGGCAAAGGCAAGGGCGTGTAGCCTGTCACCTTACAAAGACAAGGGCGTGTAGCCTGTCACCTTACCTGCATCCAGCTGAGGCCCCGGCCGCCGAAGAAGTTGAACCATTTGCTCATGCCTGCCATCATAGCCCAGCGTCTTGACGACATTGCACAGCTTCTGGTAAGCATCCCGGCCTCCAGCGACGATTGATTTGACAAGCGCTTCGTTGTGATCCGCACTACCACTGTTGGCCTGAGTCCGTTTCAGTGTGTCAATCGTAATGCGATCCGTGATGAGGTGAGCCTCTCTGGCCGCATTGCGCAGTCTCTCCGCAGGCACTTCATTCAGCCATGGCTGAATGTCGCAGTTGAACGTTTCCGAGTGGAACGGGTTACCAGCTGGCAATGCAAGCAAACGCAAAGCACATAAAAAGAAGCTTGAAGCACACAGCACTGTGATAACTCAACAGTGGTGTGAAAAGAAATCCAACACCACAGGTCTGTTGGATGCCAAAGAACGGAGCGTGAAGAACGACCAGGCTAGAATTTCACCAAGCACAGCATACCAATGTATACACGGTGACTCAACTGTGCATAAACTGTAATACATGTAAAATACGAACAGTCTAGGCTAGGAGGCTGACCCCCCTCCACCCCCCTCCACCCCCAGTTCTTCAGGGACCGACATTACTGTAATGATTGCAACAGCAATAGCAACAGCAGCAGCAGCAGCAGGAGCAATAGCAACAGCAGCAGCAGGAGCAATAGCAACAGCAGCAGCAGGAGCAATAGCAACAGCAGCAGCAGCAGCAGCAGCCGGAGCAATAGCAACAGCAGCAGCAGGAGCAATAGCAGCAAAAGCCACAGCGGCAGCAATAGCAGCAGCAGTACCAATAGCATCAGCAGCTGCAATAGCAGCAGCAGCAACAGCAACCATCAGCAGCCACATCAGCAGCAGCAATACCAGGAGTAGCAGCAGCTGAATAGCAGCAGCAGCAGCACTAGCAGCAGCATCAGCACCAACAGCAGCGGTAACAGCAGCAACAGCAGCAGCAACAGCAGCGACATTGGCAGCAGCAACAGCAGCAGCAACAGCAGCACAGGCACCAGCAGCAGCAACAGCAGCAACAGCAGCCAGTGGCGTGTCCAGGATTTGGCTGAGGGGGGGTTGCGGCCGGGATCAAGGCGGGATGGGGTGGGGGTAGATGACATCATGCTACTGTCCCAGGTCAGCCATTTTGAAAACCAATGTCAAGAAGCTCCTCCTGTAGCCCCTTCTTCAAGTTATTCACCCGAACGGCCCCAGAGACTGTTCCGGAGGATCAGCGCACCACACGGGGACAAGTGTCGAACTTGCTTCAAGTTCCCTTTCTCCGTGGGCCTGCGGTACGATCGAGCATGATGTTTTGGGGAAGCATTCTCTGGAACGCTCTCCCCTCTGATTTTAGAGTGATACGTGTCCCTGGTCCCTTCCGAAAAGCTCTTTCTGCCATTGATATACTTACTTTGTCCTCGTTAAACTTTTATTATCTGCCATAAATTCCAACCTTCTCATCTATCAATCATTTGTGCATGCATGTCTATAAAATCAACCACGTGTTCCTGACTCCATGAGATTGTCTTTCAATTCTTTGACTCCATGAAATTATTGTCTTTCTATTTCTGACTCCATGAAATTGTTCTTGATATAAATTTTTCCCTTTCTTCTTTTGGTCCTTTCTGTCTTATAAGTTATATTATTATTATCATTTCTTGTTTTCCCTTGCATATCATCCCATCATCATTCTGTGAGAACCTGCCCTATGGGCAGGTGAGAAGGCATCTCTGCCTGTTCCGGCATTTGGTGAAGTAAAATAAACAACAACAACAACAACAACAACAACAACAACAACAACAACAACAACAACAACAACAACAACAACAACAACAACAAGCCGTAAATCTCACACACCACGAGCAGTATTTCTGTACACGCAGCAACAAATGTACATTGTAAACTTCAAATTTGCGAGTCCAGCAATTTCTCACCGCTCTCAAAGTATCCTTTACATAGGCAGCGGTACTTGTCACTGTGCGCTGTTCTTTATGTTCTGGCTGCTCGCTGACAACAGGTTCTTCCATGTCTGGCGGAGTTTGACTGTCAGTCCGCTCCGAAAGTTCAACTGGATTGTCTGGAATAACAGCGTCTTCATCACTCCCACTGTTTCCTGTTGGAGCGGCAGCAGGAGTTGCGCCGCCACAGGAACGCTTTACAAAAATTCCAGGCTCTGCTGGCTAGAGCTTGGCCTTTTGGGATGTCCCTGAGACATCGAAGAAAAGCCTTCGAGTCAACCAAAACACGATTCGAACGAGGATGATCGCCTGAGTCCTCGGCATTCGAATCGTGTTTTGGTTGACTCGATCGAAGACTTTTCTTCGATGTTTGTACCGTTGAAGACGCCTCGAGTCGAGCGCGTCCCAGCAGGGATCACACTGTACAACAGTACACAGTCAGGTCACCGTGTTTCTGTAGCCGTGCATGCTCACTGTACGTAGACTCTACTCTGTACTGTAGACTGTACAGTGTACTGTAGTCTGTAGTGTGTACAATCAACACCAGCTCGAGCACCGCACCGTGCAACCGCTTTTGGACAATCGTTTCTACTCAGGCCGCGCGCGCCCCGAGCCTAGCTAGTCTAGCTCGACCTGGCGCGCGCCCTGTATTATTTTTCGAAACCTGGGTCGAAATTTTTGAGGGGGGGGCGCGCGCCCCCCGCGCCCCCCCCCCCCTAAACCCGCCACTGGCAGCAGCCACACCAACACCAGCAGCAACAGCAACAGCAGCAACACCAGCAACAGCACCAACAGCAGCAGCAATAGCAGCAGCAGCAGCAACAACAGCAGCAGCAGTGACCAGTACTAGTGAGCAGCAGCACCAGAACCAGTAGCAGCAGTAGCAGCAACAGCAGCAGCAGCAGCGACAGCAGCAGCAGCTACAGCAACAGCAGCGGCAGCAGCAGAAGTAATAGCAGCAGCAGCAGCAAAAGCAGCAGCAGTGAACAGTACTAGTGAGCAGCAGCACCAGCAGCAGAACCAGTAGCAGCAGTAGCAGCAACAGCAGCAGCAGCAACAGCAGCAGCAGCAGAAGCTGAATAGCAGAAGCAGCAGCAGCAAAAGCAACAGCAGCAGCAGCAACAGCAGCAGCAGGAGCAATAGCAGCAGCAACAGCAGCAGCGGCGGCAACAGCAACAGCAGCAGCGGCAGCAACAGCGGAAGCGGCAGCAACAACAACAGCAGCAGCAGCAGCAGGAACAACATAAGCAGCAGCAGCAACAACAACAGTAGCAGCAGTGCACAGTACTAGTGAGCAGCAGCACCAGCAGCAGAACCAGTAGCAGCAGTAGCAGCAGCAACAGCAGCAGCAACAGGAGCAGCAACATCAGCAGCAGCTACAGCAACACCAGCAGCATCAGAAGCAATAGCAGCAGCAGAAGCAATAGCAGCAGCAGCAGCTGAATAGCAGCAGCAGCAGCAGCAGCAGCAGCAGCAGCAGCAGCAACAGCAGCAGGAGCAATAGCAGCAGCAGCAGCAAAAGCAAAAGCAGCAGCAATAGCAGCAACAGTAGCAGCATGCTGAGCAGCAGCATCAATAGCTGCAGCAGCAGAAGCAGCAGCAGCAGAAGCAGCAGCAGCAGAAGCAACAGCAACGGCAGCAGCAGCAAAAGCAACAGCGGCAGAAATAGCAGCAGCAGTACCAATAGCATCAGCAGCAGCAATAGCAGCAGCAGCAACAGCAACCATCAGCAGCAACAGCAGCAGCAGCAATAGCAGCATTTGCAGCAGCTGAATAGCAGCAGCAGCAGCAGCACTAGCAGCAGCATCAGCACCAACAGCAGCGGTAACAGCATCAACAGCAGCAGCAACAGCAGCGACATTGGCAGCAGCAACAGCAGCAGCAACAGCAGCACCAGCAGCAGCAACAGCAGCAACAGCAGCAGCCACACCAACACCAGCAGCAACAGCAACAGCAGCACCAGCACCAGCAGCAGCAACAGCAGCAGCCACACCAACACCAGCAGCAACAGCAACAGCAGCAACACCAGCAACAGCACCAACAGCAGCAGCAATAGCAGCAGCAGCAATACCAGCAGCAGTGAACAGTACTAGTGAGCAGCAGCACCAGCAGCAGAACCAGTAGCAGCAGTAGCAGCAACAGCAGCAGCAGCAACAGCAGCAGCAGCTAAAGCAACAGCAGCAGCAGAAGCTGAATAGCAGAAGCAGTAGCAGCAAAAGCAACAGCAGCAGCAGCAACAGCAGCAGCAGGAGCAATAGCAGCAGCAACAGCAGCAGCAATAGCAGCAGCAGCAATACCAGCAGCAGTGAACAGTACTAGTGAGCAGCAGCACCAGCAGCAGAACCAGTAGCAGCAGCAGCAACAGCAGCAGCAGCAGCAGCTACAGCAACAGCAGCAGCAGCAGAACAGCAGCAGCAGCAACAGCAGCAGGAGCAATAGCAGCAGCAACAACAGCAGCAGCAGTGAACAGTACTAGTGAGCAGCAGCACCAGCAGCAGAACCAGTAGCAGCAGTAGCAGCAGCAGCAACAGCAGCAGCAGCTACAGCAACAGCAGCAGCAGCAGCAGCAGAAGCAATAGCAGCAGCAGCAGCAAAAGCAACAGCAGCAGCAGCAGCAACAGCAGCAGCAGGAGCAATAGCAGCAGCAGCAACAAAAGCAACAGCAGCAGCAGCAATAGCAGCAATATTAGCAGCATGCTGAGCAGCAGCAGCAATAGCTGCAGCAGCAGAAGCAGCAGCAGAAGCAGCAGCAGCAGAAGCAGCAACAGCAGCGGCAGCAGCAGCAAAAGCAACAGCGGCAGCAATACCAGCAGCAGTACCAATAGCATCAGCAGCAGCAGCAACAGCAACCATCAGCAGCAACAGCAGCAGCAGCAATAGCAGCAGTAGCAGCAGCTGAATAGCAGCAGCAGCAGCAGCACTAGCAGCAGCATCAGCACCAACAGCAGCGGTAACAGCAGCAACAGCAGCAGCAACAGCAGCGACATTGGCAGCAGCAACAGCAGCAGCAACAGCAGCACAAGCACCAGCAG